TGAGTGTTTGGTTGCTGAATGAACATGTAGGTTGAGGAATTTATCCATGGGTGCCTTAAATTCGCGCTGCTGGAAATTTGTATTTCGCTTGGGTCGTTGTGCGACCTTAGACGAGCCCAAAGCAACCAATTGTTCTGCTACGGTCGCTGGGTGAGCTTTTGCGAACGAAAAGCGAGCTACTCGTTGTGCGACCATGACCCAATTTCAGTTTTGTCTTCCCCTCGCTTTGCGGTCACTGCGCGATCATGACATGGTGCAATTTTCCCGTTTCTTGTTTTCTTCATATCTTGTGAACCGTAACTCGAATTGAGGCGTGGTCGGTGATGAGCACCATGTAAAATGGTTGATAATTGGTGAGGGACCTTTGTTCTGAAAATCCTATTTTGGCGACGAGCTTTGCTCCAAAAGTCCTATTTATTATGATGAATTGATGATCATATGCCTTGTGTGCATTATTTATACTTGACTTGTTATGTCACTATACATGTTTTATGTGTGCTATATGTGTACGTTCATATGTTTGATTGTGTGATAACATGCTTAAAGCAATATGAAAATAAGTGAGGAAACCTAAGCTTAAAACCGGGAAAATGAATTAAAAAGAGAAATAGGTTGCAAGTATGACTTAGATAATACTAGAGGGTGACATTCATGCTATGATACCTAGGTGTGTCTCATGGATGAATAATCACCATAATTGTGAATGAGATGCATTGTATGGAACATATATGGTTAGTGTGTTGCTATATGATAAAAGTGAATGTGGTCACCTTGTGATTGTCGAATACAATCATGTTGTGTTGTATTTCATCACGTAGTCAGAAATAAACCTTAAGATGTGTTGTCCCAATAGTTAATGCTTATGTAGAACTCCTTTGGGATGTACGCATTATTACTTAGACAAGTTTAAGTCCCGTGTGTACGAATGAAGGATACGGGTAAAAGGCTTGAGATGGGCAGATGTCCCATGAGAAGAGACGAGTCATGTGGGAAACACCTTGAATCCGAATCCATTTCGTATGTCAAAGTACAATACAAGTATCCGTGACCCGTACCGAAAGTCCTAGACATATGAGAGAACAAGGAAGTTTGCCTTGGTATGGTTTCTGAGCTAGTGATTATTTGAGTTGATGAACTCAAGAGTCATGTTTCCATACATTGCGAGTTTGTGAGCTTAAGTCTTATATCCCTTTTTCCCTATACTTGAGTTAGGATTAAATTAGAACCTTGTAGAGCCGAATGAACCCGTAAGATAGAGGAACTCACTAAGATTATTATCTCACCCCATTATTGTTGTTGTTTTTCAGGTATATTTTTGCATGTTTAGTTTACAAGTAGAGCTATGCATGGATGTTTCAAGGGAAGCTTAAATTATGATTATTTCTCTGTGTTCTGTGTATATTGTACAATGAAAGATATTGTACTTAGATCTTAGATTTTATTGTTTTGGCACTTTCTATATCTTGTATCATAGGTTGTTTTATTATTTTAGAAATGGTCAAGTATGTAAATGTTGCCAATAGGCGCTTATGATGGTTTCAGTACCAAATAATAAAACTTGCATGATATTATTCTAGATATATATTATACAGGGCGTTATAATTTCATACCATTAATTTAAAAATTACAGTATGATGTGGTGGAATACAAGATTGTAATTGGTTGACAGTGTAAAATTATTTTACACTGTTAGTGCATATCTCATGTTCTCATTTTTCAATCTTCTTTCCCCCATTTTGTTTTATCAACCAAACATAATCTCAAAGTGGAAATTTCTTAATGCACCCGATGCATTACTAGGGTACCATGTCAAAATAAAAAAATGCCCCAGAATCCGAAGATGTGTCTCCGGCCACACCCTAAGTCAATAGAAATCTGATTTAATGTGAAAAAACTATGGAGATACATCTTTGTAAACATTATAATGATGCATCTCTGGACGCTGCTTGTACACAACGTGGCAGAACCTTTCTTCTTCCTTAATTGTTAGAAAAAAAATTCTTTAAAACTCTCTCAAAATCACATTTTCTCAGAATCAATCAAGCAACATCAAAGCTTTTTCAATCATCACCGGGCGACATCAAAATCTCATTCAAGTAAATCAAATTCAAAGATTTCTCACTTCTTGTAAATTTTTTATTATTGTAATCTTTTTTGAGTTTTTGTATAAATTTATAGAAATTGATTATTAGGTATTAAAATACATAGTTTATGCATGTTAGATAGTTGATACATTATGATAAATAAGTTTCATAGTTAAAAGTAATGATCAATGCATTATTTACGAGGTCTTGGTGGTCTACATTAACGCCATTAACGAAAATGAAAGTTGTAGGAAATTTCGGAGATCCATCGCCATATTTTTTCAATGTTTGGATTCCCAGGATCTAGAGATGCCTCTCCGTATTTTATTAGTTTTTTTTCTTTTTTTCTTTTTTTCTTGATCGTAGGGTTGCTTCTAGTCAATGTGTGACACTTATATGGTTTACTTACATGCATTATAGCCGATAGAGATGAAAAATTGAGCCACGACATGATTGTACAACATGCACCTGTTTGGAGGGGAAAAAGTCAAGTTTTGCAGACTCCGTTTAATGGGGAGACGTTAGCTTCCGGGGCTCACATATCTTCACTTTCTTCTTTCCGTAGGAGACGAGTGTCACATAGTGACGCATCACTACCTCCATCTTCCCGTAGGTGACATGCTTCACCAACTCAAGCAACAGAGGTACCCGAGTCACCAGAGGTATCTCAATTACTAGAGGCACCACTGCCACAATTGGAACCAGAGGGTCCTTAGGCTGATGAGTTAGTGCCACCTTGGGATGATAAGGCTAATGAGCAAGTGCCACTTCAAACTGATGAGACTGATGAGCCAATGTCACCTCATGTATTTGGATGAGGCTCATTAGAGTTGTCAATGCTGCCTCTTTACCCGGACCATACTGCTAGACATATCTAGGACGAAGACGTAAAAGTAGTTGAATTCGTTTTTCTAAAATTACGTTTATTATTATATTACAAGTTTTTGATGATGGGCGAAAGATTACTGGCCTGCAGCAGCCTACTGACGAGTGGTTTCAGGCTACTATTCAACTATTTGGGATGAAGAACATATGCAAGACCAATTATGTTACTGTGAACCACGTGATGCTTAATGCATTTGTAAAGAGATGGCATATTGAGACCTCATCATTTCATCTACCACTTGGTGAGATGTCTATCACACTCGACGATGTGTCGTGTTTGTTATATCTTTCGATTAGGAAAAAGCTTTTAGATATAGAGAGGATTAACAAAGACATGACACTTGAGTTGATGGTAGATTATTTGGAAGTTGACTTAGAGGCTGCCTTAAGGGAGTTTGAAAAAATCATAGGGGCTCATGCTAAGTTTGAATTCATCAAAAAGGTATATACATATGAGCCGGTTAGAGCAGAGCAAGCTAGAGGTTATAAGGAGCAGGAGAGGCAGCATAAAGCGTATCCACGAGTACTTTGAGCGTATCCATTTTTGTAGACAATATTGCCACTTACGTCGATGTCATATACCTATAATACTTCGAGGACTTTGAGCGGATCCATGAGTACAACTAGGGGGCGCTTGTGTTGGTTTACTTGTATTATAAGTTATCTGAGGGCTGTAGGTAGAAGACGAAGCAGGTGAGAGGCAACATCACACTTTCGACAATAATATTTATTGGTCTTTTAGTGTTTGTGTGTCATTTTCATTACATTTTTGTAATACCCTTACTAATGATTCGTGTGTTCCAACACTTTTCAGGCTTGGATCCTCCAGCATCTCTGACTGGTCGTGTGTACCGACCTATACTGAAGATATGCCACACACTCCTGCATTTGCCTCGCCCATAGGTACTGACATAGATATACTTCCTGATGGTTCTGAGGCGAAAAAGGTCATAAATGCCATTATAACAGAGGCATGATAGGCATTGATGTATCGAATACCATGTCAGAGGAAAGAGGGGGAGGTATAAGAGGCCGATGAGCCCGAGGGTTAGAGTCTGACATTCATAATAATTGATAGTATTTGTAGTTTGAATTTATGTTTTTTCGAATGTATTTTATTTTTACTTATTTCAACTTTATTACGTATGTTATGATGACTTATTTTGACTCTAGATTTTTATGTCATTTTTTGTATATCGGCTGTATAATTTAATGCTCATCACATAAGAGAGGTCTTAACATTTATAAATCGTCATTTTCATCTGAGTAATTATGAAACTAACTTAATTTGCACTGTTTGGACTAATTACGAATAAAGGCACTGTTTGCACTCGTGTGTCCGTCTGTCCGCTTTTTTATTGCACACATATAAATATAAATGATATATTTTTATTTAATATAAATTTTGCATGGAAGTTATGTGGGAAGTTATTAGTAGGGAGTTATATGAAAGATGATAGTAGTAGTTCAATGAAAGTTATTGTGTAAGTTATATATTTTAAAATAATGGTGAATTTGGTATAAAAAAAAACTACACCAAAAATTAAGTATTGCCTTTATATATGTTATAGATTATAGATTATAAACTACCATGAAAATGGAATTCCAAAATCTAAAGGGTAGTTTGGATTTTTCATAAGAAATCCCCTCCTAAAATTAAAACTTTATTTGGTATTGGCTTCATTTGGTATTTTCGCTTCGAATATAAAATTTGTCACCTCGCTTGTTGCGGAACCCTAATTTTCGTATTACGCAAATTTCTCATTCTGCACCGAAGCTTTTTTTCAGGTACTCTCTCTCTCTCTGCCATCGCTATTTAGGGTTTCTGGAGAAAGAAAGGTGGCATGTTTGTGCAATTCCCCTTCTTGATTTTGTTAAATCTTCGATTAGGGTTAGTGATGAAAGGGTCTTAGGGTTAGGGCATTATGTGCTATGTTCGTTTTATCTTATGCCGTATATTTTTCTGCTTATCTTTGGTTTGTTGCGCCGTGTGAAAAAGTTTTGATTTGAAGGCGATTTGAGGAGGAAAAGATGAGGCCGATTTTCGCTGGGAACTTGGAGTACGATACTCGTCAAGCGGACCTTGAACGCTTGTTCTCAAAGTACGGCAGGATTGAACGCGTTGACATGAAATCTGGTAAAATCTCGTGTTTCTCACTTCTTATGCTCAGTCAAAGAACTTCAATGGGAATTTTCTTGTTTAATCCTTGGTGGTTTTTGTTGTTTAAGATTTTAGTTTCTTTTTCTTGGAAAAGGTTTCTAGCTCAACGCTTTGAAAGGTCTAGGTTTTTTTATTAGTTTTGATGATTTTCTGGGTTAAAACCTGGATAACAACTACCTGCATTGTCACCTCAATTTGTGTCATTGTGGGTCTGAAGAACTGTAAATAATGACTTTTTTATTATTAGATTAGGTGACATAGATTGTGTGAAGTTATTGTGTCAGTGATGAGAAAACATAGTTTTATCGTCTATAGTTTGAGATGATGTTCATCTAAAGGCTATTTGCCAACTAGGGTTCTGCGAACAACCATGTTCAGGAATTTGGATATGGAGCTATAGAGACGTTGCTGCTTTTGTGGCTCGGGTATCTAGTTCCTGTATCTCGGTGGTAAAAGAAATGGCAGATGCAAAATTGCAGCGCCTTTGAAAAAATCCTTTGGTTTTTAAGTGTTTCTTTTGACGCAGGAACTTCTACTAAGGGAAAAAATGCTGAGCTTCTGTCTTGGCTTGCCAACTACTGTGCAAAATTTTTTTTGGAAGGAAACCTTCCGCTCTCCTTCTATCCACAGATCTGCATTTTCTCATGTGATCATTCGTCACTCACTTACCTCATCACTCATCACTCATCATTGATAATCAGAACCATCTTAGTGGAATCATCAATCAATTTATTAAGCCATGCCTAGCTTCACTGAATATAGGGGATCAATGAAATTCTGTCAAGTCATGCCCTTCTATTTCTGAAATCTCTTGTGCTGTCTGAATGGAGAATCATGCTTGGCAATTACAATCTCAGATCTGAATTTTGGATTTAAACCTTAAAATGCAATCATGATTTGTTTCCTCATTCAACGCCTCTACAGCTTCATGTGCATCAGCCCACACTTATATTCAGGTGTTGTATTCATATGTTCCTAACAGGGAAAATGATTTCCTGGTTTGGCTGATGTACTTGGTGAGGGATAACATGCTAATACGCCTTTTATCATTGTATTTGCCTCTAATTTCACTTATGTTGCAGGATTTGCTTTTGTATACTATGAAGATGAGCGTGACGCTGAAGAAGCAATTCGTGCTCTTGACAACATTCCATTTGGTTATGATAAGCGACGACTATCTGTGGAGTGGGCTAGGGTATGCCATTTTTTTTATCGATATCTTTTGGTTCTATTTACTTATTGATGAAGACATAGAAATATCAAAATGCCCTGCCCGAGAATAATAAGAGCATCCTGTTTTGTTTTCATTTTACAGGGTGAACGTGGGCGTCATCGTGATGGCTCAAAGGCAAACCAGAAGCCCACAAAAACTCTATTTGTCATAAACTTTGACCCGATTCGCACTAGAGTTAGTGATATAGAGAGACACTTTAAGCCTTATGGACAGCTTCATCATGTTCGAATTCGCCGCAACTTTGCATTTGTGCAATATGAAACACAAGAAGATGCCACTAAAGCCTTAGAGTGTACAAATATGAGGTCAGTGACTCAGTGATATGATTTGTAACATTTTGCTATAATCCTCAGTTTCTGAATTTCTAACATGCACAATTAATAACGAGTTTCTGGTCTCATTGGTCTTGCAGTAAGATTCTGGACAGGGTGGTCTCTGTGGAGTATGCTCTGAGGGATGATAGCGAGAGGGTTGACAATTATAGCAGTCCCAGAAGAGGAGGAGGTCTTGCTAGATCTCCCAGTCCAGCCTATCGCAGGCGACCAAGTCCTGACTATGGCCGTCCACGTAGTCCTGTGTACGACAGGTATAGTGGACCAGACAGGCGGAGGAGTCCTGATTATGGCAGGAACAGGAGTCCTGAATATGGCAGGAACAGGAGTCCTGAATATGGCAGATACCGCAGGTATTGTATTTGAAGTTAATTTTATTTATTTCCTGCAATTATGTTCCTTTCTTGAACTTATTCCTTTATTTATCTACAGTCGTTCACCAGTACGAAGGTCGAGAACTTAAGTGGTGTCTGGTTTGAGAGTAAGTAGCAGGGCTTCAGTAGCACTTTATTACTGTCTTGATGTTAGATTAGTAAGTAGTACACTATTGGATTAAAGAGTACTTTTCAGTCTTATGTGGACTGGTATGGTTTGCTATGTAGTAGTCACTGCTTTTATAGGAACTGAATTTAAAACTGTTTGGAGTTGGAATTATTGATTCATATTACTGAAGTGACATCATGTTATGCTGCAACTGAATCTGAATGTTGTTAAACTAATGTTGAATTTGCTTTTTTCAATATGTAAATCAGAGGATTGAGTACTGAAAATAGTTAGATTTATAATTTGTTGAGCATTGTTTTAGATGCAATACGAACACCTTCAATATCCATCTGATGCACTTCACTCAGAATAAAAAATTGTGATGGTTTCGAGTTGAGTTTTAATTTGAATCAATTTTTATTGAGTTGAACCCAAAGTTCGAATAAGCCGGATTCACTGCCAGCCATAGTTGGCACAAAAGCATTGTTGAGATTTGCCAAGCAAGAACCCAATAATAACCTCTCTGATATGCCAAGATTTTCTACTTTGTATTATGACATGACATACTTTTATGTGTGTATTTTTGTTGTGACTTATAAATGTGCTTTAAATATGTAAGTATAGTTACACAGTCAAAAAGTATTTAGACAAATACACCGGTCAATGTAAAAGATCCAAATCTGATTCTTATTAAAGATAACCAAATAAAAATACTTTAATTTAAAAGAATTCTGATTGTTTTGTACTATCTGAAAATTATATGTTAATTGATTATAACATTAACAAATGGAATATGCTGTTTTAGTACAAAAACCATCCAACATTATTCCTTTGACCCTTAACCACTAAATGAAGAATCAGACATTGTCCTTTTCTAATATAAAGCAACTGTATTTTTAGCTGAAAATTAACGCAACTATTTGCCCTTTAACACTGATGTCTGCAGCAGCATCTGCAAATAATCACAATATTAAAAAAATATTCTAATTTTGACGACGAAAATTTAATATAAATAATGAGAGTTAGAAAAGTTAAAGCCAAGTAGGAACCAAAGAAGTATCGGATCGTAAAGCACAAAGTAGATACCACCCACATTGGACCACAAAGCCCGAAGTATCGGACCGCAAAGCTCAAAGAAGTACCGCCGCAAAGTTCGAAGTAGGAACCACTCTGCAGAGGAAATGTTAGATCTAGGGGTGACAAACAGGTACGTCCGAAGTACCGCCGCAAAGCCCGAAGTAGGAACCACTCTGTAGAGGAAAGGTTAGATCTACGGGTGACAAACAGGTATGTCCGAAGTACCGCCGCAAAACCCGAAATAGGAACCACTCTACAGAGGAAAGGTTAGATCTAGGGGTGACAAACATGTACGTCCGACTCCGACTCGCAATAGAAAAAGGGTCAGGACGGCGTCCTGCCTTAAAAGTGAGGGAAGAGCGAAGCGAGTTCATAGACATTGTACATTTTTAATGTAAAAATATAAAATTTATGTTAATGTCAGGGCTTGCAAAAGTTCGAAAAGAAAAAATAGGACGGAGTGAAACAAACATATTAGAAAATATGAATTTGAACAATTGATTCGTTTAACACTAAAATGTAAGTAAAATGGACGTGTCCAACAAACCGGATCCTTTTGCCACTCTAACTAGATCTTAGATGAAAAGCCATCGCCATCAATAGAAAAGAAATCTTTAATATTAATCTCAAGAACTAAAAAATAAATTTTTAGTATGCGTTTCAAGAACTCTCTATAAGCCTCGTATAATATCATTTTCAAATTAAGAAGATGCTTTTATTTTCCTCATTCTTTAGAGTAATAGAGAAACTTTTAAAAAAACTATAATTTCGAGATTTTCATATAGATCAATCTACTCCTTTCCGACAAATCACTCATAATCTTAAAAACTAACATCTAAGAAAGTAAAAAATAAAAAGATAAAATCCTTTGGAAGAATAAGAGTCTCATAACCATATGAAAACCTCTGAAAACACAAGTCATAAGCATGTGAATAGCCGACTCTAAAAAATATGTGAAACAATACACTAAATACCTTTTAACTCGCCTTTGTATCTGTTTAAATTTATTTATTTAACTTATTAACTAAAATTTTTTTACTCAAATAATCCACTTTTTTTCAAATATATTTTCATAATAATCCATTTTTTTTACATATTTTCCAAAGTAACAAACTTTTAAATAAAAAAAATTATAGTGGTAGTGTCAATTGAATTGGCGACTGCTTATTGTGTTGTTGATCAAATTGGCACCTGTATGCAAGCTTTAAATGGTGGTGCCAATTCATTTGGCGCTAGTGTGTATTGTATTTTTTTAGTATAAATAGATGTGTCTTCTACATTTACTTTCATATTTTTCTTTTCTTTTTTTCACTAACTCTATCATGATTGTTAAAAGAGATGAGCATGTATGATATTCTCCAATGAAGCCTTCAAAATGTTTTTTTTGAAACATCCAAAGTTTTGAACATCTTAAAAGGAGTTTGAAAAGTTGGTTAGACAGAGAGATTAATGATGGGAAAAGAATTAGAAGTATCAAGAGAAACATATAACACCGTCCATATGCCCCTAACACATCATCCTACAATAGCCAAAACACTGAAGAAACATATAACACCAACCATTTCTCCTACTACATCGAAAACACACAAATATCACAACACAAAAACATACAACAAACATATGACTATTAAACTCCACAACAACCATTTCTTTCTTTCTCCAACAAACCAGTCACACTAATGTTGCTCTTCAATTGTCTACTCTGCACATCAGTAATCCTATTAACACAACTCAACTATTTTGGTATGGGTTACAAATTCAATTACGACAACGCGTCATTCCATAAAGAAGACTACGTAGAAATACAAAATTTTTTTTTTAGAGAATATGATGATGATGTTTCTAAGACCTAAAATCCTTAAACACATGCGGTATATCAACAACAAACACAACAAATTAGAGTAGTTATGAGGTATGGAATCAATGGCGGCGGTCATCCTTATTACTGTTAATATTGCTTTTGTATGGAAAAGTAATTTAAATTAAATATAATATTTATTATTTAGTTTTTTTATATAATATTATTTTTTTAATAAAAAAAATACAATATACACTAATGCCATCCAACTTGATTTCACTATTTAACTCTTGCATGCTGACGCCAATTGAGTTGACATCACCACATGCAATCCTAATTCAATTTACGTCACAATTAAAATTTTAAATGAAGTTATCAATTCGTCTGACATCAGTTTTACATTTCAATTTTTTTTATTTTTTATTTTAAAGTGGATTAGTTTGAAAAATATGCCAATCATCGTTGAAATTTATTAAAAAAATGTTGGTTATTTGTCTAAAAATTTCTATTAGCTAACATAATGAATAACAATAAAGATTAGTGACACAAATTTTCTAGAAACATTTTATGGTAATTTATTTTCACAAGTTCTCTATAAAATGAAACGGTTTATACATAAATATTTATACTATAGATGTTTATATGTATGCTATATAAGTGTAATAGTATCTACATAATGAGCTAAAAAATGCAGTAAAAACATCCTTTAGAACAAACATGAGTTAAATATTTTTTTACATATTTAACTTAAATTGATCACAAGAAGGATAAAATAAAATCTAGCTTTAAGATTTAATTTCTTAGCTGTTCCTCAATAGCTTTCTCCAACCAAGTTTCAGCATCTTGCATCATTTCAGGGCTAAGCCTAACCATCAATATACAAAACTCAGTTTCATTAAGCTTTCCATCACCATCAAGATCACCTTGTTGAACCATAGCTTCTGCATCTTCTTTGCTCATTCCTTCCATACCAAGCATAGCTGAGTTTTTCCTGAGACTCTCACTTGTTATCAAGCCTATTTCTTGGTCTGCTAGAAGCCTAAAACCGTTACATAGTTCAGATACAAAGGCTTCTACATCAAGTTTCTCTGCCATCACTGGTAGTAAATCTTCGAACTCTGGCTCCATGGTTGTGGGGGATGTTTGCTTCATGTTCTTGTTGGTTTCCATTGTTAAGGGAGTTTTTTTGTTGTGGTTGTAGTTGGTAAACGTGGGAAGAAGGGTGGATGAAGAAAATGACTTTGGAAGAGATGTATATTATTAATATATAGTAATGAAAATTTAATGAGTGATTTCGTTAGAAAAAATGGGTTTTTATATAGATGTAGAAGTCCTTTGCTTTTTGGAATCACTCTCACCTTAGCTTTTTGGGGGAGTTAGTAAAAGTTCTTTGTCAATTTGGGGGACTTGGTAAAAGTCTTTTGTCAATTTGGGGGATTTAGTTAAACAATTGATTATGAGTGGAATAACTAAAAGTCCTCTTTTTTTTTTTTTTTTTTTTTACATCATTTTGCTCTCTAAATTTAGTTAAACAATTGATTAATTTAATTTATAATTAAAATTAAAATTAATTTAATTATATAAATTAATCATATTTCAATCTGGTGTGGTATGAAAAGCAAAGTCATTTTCTCGTTCTTTGGTCATGGTTATCTTGTTGTGTGCCTAGAGGGGGTTTCATTCTAGGTCGTGCTTAGTGGTTAATGTTTACTCTAAGTGTTCTTTGGCTGATAAAAGAATTTTGTGGGTGCATTTGGTTCAGTTTAGGAATATTTTTCAAAGGGTCATTTGGTGTGTATTGAGGTTAGTGATGACTTTAATTCGATTCTTATTCTAGGGAGAGGAAGAGGGTTATATTGAGCCCAAGGAGTATGAGTTGGTTGAATATTTGAAATTTGAGGTTTTTATGGATGATACAGGGTTAGTGGATGTGTTGTTACGAGGAAGAAGGTTTACTTGGTGTCATTCTAATGAGAAGTTGATGAGTAGGTTGGACCGGGTTTTAGTTTAAAAATGTTGGGAGGACGAGTGGAGGAAGGGCTGCTTGTAGGTGTCGCAACTGCGAAAAAACAACCGACGAAAAAAATAGAAAAGTCACCACCGAACGTTATTTATCCCGACGAGGGAAAGGAAACGATAGAAGAAAACCTTAAAAAAAGAGAGAAGACATGGTCATCGCAACCAAATCTTGGGTTCGAGAGTCGATTACGCGAGAGGAAGGTATTAGCACCCCCCGCGTCCGTTGTACTCAACGGAATCCACGCTTGTTGTCTAATCAAAGGGTGTGTCATCTAAAGCCTACTGCTAAGCGAAAACGGGAACGAAAAAAAGAAAAGGAGACTCGATAGGACTTCGCCGTCCTAGGTCTACGTATTCCCTCGTGCAATGGAAAAGTCAGTGTTAACGTAGTTCGGGAAACTATGGGTGGCGGGGAAGGTTGCTCGCCAAGACATCACCATCTTGTGCCTACGTATCCTCATCTGGTATGAGAAATCAGAGCAGTCGTAGTTCGTCCTACGAATCGATACTTGTTTGCGGTAGAACGGAAAAATAACGTACTCTTTTTGAAAATGGTTTGACAAATGATCCCGAAGGATGAAAATGATTTGAATTTGTTTTCGAGTTTTAGAGAAGTGAATTGACTTTATTTGGAATATACATCGCACTAAAGTCTATGACATAGGATCAAATACTTCGCGCTAACGATCCAAGCGTCTCGCGCACAAAGTACCCTAAGATGAGGTTAGAATTTCATCTGCTCATCTTTCCCATGTACTTAAGGCTCGTGGCATACAATGCATATCATCTTTATTAAGTGTTTTGATGTTGTTTTGAGAAGGAAGAGAGAAAGACGCACGAAAGGTCTAAGGGAAAAACTCGGTCCTAACATTGTCATGTAAAATGTCCCTAAGGTCGGGATGCGAGAGGAAATTCTATCCTAATGTTAGCATGCAAAAGTGGACCTAAGGTTGAGGTTAAAAAGGGAATAACCTAATGTTATCATGCATGGATTAACTCCTAATGTCTAACCTACTCCAAGGCAGCAGGCATAATGGATGCACAATTAACAACATGTTAAAATCCAGAACATCAGGTGTGAAAAGTCAAGCAGCATGTATGCATCCACATTAAAGCCATACTTCAAGCAAGCAACGATCATCAACGAGCATGCATAACAAGTCAAACCAAGCATCAAGATTGCAAACAAACAAGATTAAACAACAATTGACATATGATCAAGTCATCCAAGAATATATCATGATTATGCATTCACAATTCAACAAAGGCACATGACATCGTGCAGACCAAACATGAACACATATCAAGCAAGGTTAATTGATGAACATGCATTGAAAATTAAGCACAAGTAAACTCAACAAGATTGCTTAATTAAACATTCAACAAGAACATCATGCATATTCCACAACAATTAATCGTTTCAAACAATTATGCGCTTGCAGAATTAGAATTAAACAACGAGCACGTAATGCATATCCAGCAAGATAAACATCAAGAGTCATCAATCAACATTGTGCAAGTGATTATGCAACATGATCAACACACCAAGAATGCAACACAACAATCATAAATGTTCATCAACGGAAAACCAAAAGTCGCGTGTCAAATAAACTGAAGCATACTATCACACATGATGAAACAGGTCAAAAACAGTCCACATATATGCATCATATCAAGCCATGAAGTTTAAAAATGAAAAGGAAACCAAACAAACTTAAAAAAGCAAGAAAAAGACATTTTGTCTCAGTGGTAATCAATTACCAATATATGGGTAATCAATTACCCACTTGAAAATGTCAAAAATACACGTGGAAAAGACAGGGTAATCGATTACTCTGATTGTGGTAATCGATTACCACTAAGACAGTGGCAAAATTTCAACTTCTAAAAAGCACTTTCAGCAGCAAATGACTTATCTAATCATCCAAATGAACAAGAAATCAATTGTGCACAAAAATATGTCAAATCACAGCAAACAAACACCAATTGCATCAATCAAACAACAAGATTAAAGGTCAAAGCAAGTAATGGATCAAATATCACCAACAAGCCAATGATCTACATTATGAAATGCAAGATTAAGCAAAATCAAAGCTAGATCTAGAATTTACCAACCTACAAAGCTGAGATTTGCTTTGGTGAGTGTTGTTAAGCTGAAATTAACAGATCCAAGCAAGAAATCCAAGGATCTATGAAGTTCTAGCAAGAAAACTTGAAGATCCAAGCAATAATCCACAAATAAGCCAAAGCTCCTTCAAAAGTGATTCCAACAACTTAATTCAAGATCCAAATGAACTTCCGCACTAGAATTGAACCAAGGATGATGATGCAATGGAGGTTTAGCTCAAGAATTCAGAAATTGCAACGCACAATTTGTGAAGCTTTTGGCTATGGAGCTTTGATGAGGGTTTGGGAATGAGAGAAAAGTTGAGAGAGTTGAAGTGAGATGTGTAGAGAATTCCGAAAATGAGTGAAATTTATGAGAGGTTTGGAGTGAATTTGTTTAAATAATCCCTAGGTTAGGAATTAAAATATGGTTTAGAGTGTGGGTTAGTGTGAGGAATGGAAATTAAGAGTGGAGTTAGGAATGGAAAGTGTTTGAATTTTTTTGAGGGAATGAACTAATTTGTGAAAATCAATCAAATTCGAACCAATTCTAGATCCTTCTACTGGTGCACATGGAAATCACATGATCACAATGCAAACCAAGTACTGCAGTGCTGAGAAATGAATAATCTGGGCAAAATTCACTTGAGGTAATCGATGACCACATTCAAATTTTCAAAAATTGGCGCCACAAAGAGGGAAACTTGGAGAATCATCCTTAACCACTTGTTTTGAGCTTTATTCTACCTCTGAAACTTGTCATTTGATACTGCACCTGTATAATTCCTGAAACAAATTGTGAATTATCCTTTGCGCTCAAAATAATCTGTTGAAGAATATGATCTGGTACCCGATCGTTGAACAAAATAAATGCTGAAGCCTCTGATGTTTACTGCTTAAAAACTTGCAATAAAAGAAAACCCTTGAGCCATATGAACACCTTAATCCCACGTCTCAAGAGTCAATGCCATGATATGCACAATGATAATGCAAATGAGCAAAACATAAGCCAGTTACGGTTAAGAACAAAAAGGAAAATTTTGGGGAGCTACAGTGGCACTCTCTAAAGATGTCTTATATCATTATTCTCTTGTGCTTAAGTATTCTACTCAAGTATGGATACCTTAGCCATTTAGGTTTAATAAGTTTTGGTTGGGTAATGCTAGTTTTGTAGAGGTGACGGGGACTTCTTGGGGTGTCCCTTATGAGGCAGTTTGGATGACTTGTTCCCTTAAGAATAACCTTAAAACTCTCAAAGTTGTTATGAAAGTATGGAGTAAATAGGTGTTTGAGAATATAGAGTTTAAGACTAAGATGCACGTTGATAATATTGAGCATTGGGAGATTAGAGTGGGAAATGTATATTTGACTTCAAAGGAGTTGAGAAACATGTTGCTTGCTTCTTAAGAGCTTAGAAAGCTCCTTAGGCGTTGTCGTTCGCACCTCTTCTTGTGAGCAAGGTTAACTTGTCTCAAATAGGGGGATGTTAAAACAAGGTTTTTCCATTCGTGTATCAAGCCTAAAAGTCATAGAAATATTATAGTTTCACTCAAGGTAGTCGAGGGTTGATTGGAGAAGGTGGAAGATATTCGGGCATAGACCTCTTAGTGTTTCAAGGATCACTTTTTAGAGAGATCAGAGTTTAGGCCTAATCTAAGATGAGGTTCCTCTCTCTAGTCTCTAGTTAGCCGAAACCAAGTCCCTTTCTGTGAGGTTTAATCCCCTAGAAGTATACAGGGTGGTGGCTGGGATGGATGGTTATAAAAGCACATGTCCTAATGGTTTTAATGTTGATTTTTATAATATGTTTTTGGATTTAATTATAGAGGAGGTGTGCATAATGTTCACTCAACTTTTTGAGAATGAGGTTCTGCCTAAGAGTTTCATGTCCTTCTTTGTTGCTCTCATTCCTAAGGTACAGAACCCTTTGGAGTTGAGGGAGTTTAGGCATATTTCTCTTCTTAGGTCTTCGTACAAGTTAGTTTCCAAAGTTCCGGTAGCTTGTTGGCTAAGATAATTGATAAGTTGATTGCTTAAGAACAATA